ATATTTTGGATAATCCCTATCAATTTGATATTCATAAAATAGATCTCATATGAGACAAACATCTAGGACATTATCTTATAATATAATTAGGTTTAGCGGCAGAACTGTTCTTCAGTCTCTCTTACGAAACGTAAATATTCCCATTACACCGTTTTTACTTAGAAGAGGGTTCTAAAGCTTAGTTATTCGCAGGCATAGTACTTGGTAACGGACGGTTATGTAAGGAGAGTAATATCGCTTTAGCAACAGCAGTTACACACTTTCCCTACTTTTTCGGTGAACGGATTACATGATTACCTAGTCCAACAAAGTCAACAAAGCGCACCCCCCCTGTAATGGAATAAAAAAATTGGCGTAGTACCTACTCGCACAAAGTTCCACGTCAACTCTCATCCATAAATTATCCACCACGGCCTTCTAAAATTAATTTTCGTGTAAAGTGCAGTCATTGAATATGTCGGTATTACTGACTACGGCCCAAAGACTATTTTTTTGCCTGAATGTGATATATTTTTCCCTTAAAGACAACGTTAGCTTATTTGATGAAGCACACGGACAAAGAAATATTTTCCTCTCTTTTAACCGCTTACGGTCATCTAAATTCAAAAGAGAATTATCGCACAACGCATCCCATCCTTGACTGTTTATGCCTAACTTTAACCGCAATCAGTCGCTGTAAGCCTCCTTGAAATTCGGCTCAAAGCTACCTGTAATATTCGACAATAAATAATCCCTAGTCCGTCCGAATAACATCCACCCGCAAAAGCTCTACTGAGCGCCGCATCCATCCTTTTGTGTTTAATCTCTTGATTACCAAAATAAAATTATTCGGTACGTATTTCAGTACTGTAGGCGTCCTTTCTGCGCTTATTTCACAAGCAAACCACATGCCCCAACGAGGTAATTCAAATTGCACGAAGTAGCATAAGGCAAAAGAGCGTGTACATTTATTTAATTTCCTGCAGTAATTCGACGCAAATCTTGGTCTTTTATGAGGTAACTGCAGACAACTGCCAAAAGTGAGATAGTGCCAAGCAAGGTGAAAATCTATGTGCAAGAGGAATGCGCAGCCCCGGGAATGAATTCTCCAGTGTTTGTCCTTCCTGAGGAGTGTAATGAGCAGCGGATGCATGCCTACCGCGGCCATAACCTTGATTTTAGATATTCCTAAAGATACATAAATATACTTTAGAAAAGTTCGCGACATTTCCCGTTAAACCTGAAGTACCTATATAAATTCTTTATCTTCACGGATTTCTGTTGCACGAAAAACAGATTACAGCTGGAATACTAATTTTTTGTCTTAGAAATGTTTATGACAATCTTACGTTTTCGCAACAGAATATCGCGCATAAAGCAAAAGAGATATTTAATAATATATGTTTTACTTACTTACAGTTAATTTTTGAGGGGCAAATTTGGTAATTTTTTACATACCTTTACCACATAATTGATTGAGTTTCGTGATATTCCTGAAAACATAGTTTGGGCTTAAGAGATAGTCTATTTAACTGTAACCAGGGAACATCTTTCCTAACACGCCCTCAATTTACATGCTGTAAATCTTCAAGAAAGTTTATTCTATGTAGTTTATTTAACTTATTAATATTAAATTTCAGTTTTCCATTTCGTCATTATACTTGCTACTTTGGTTTTGGTTTTAGAATATTTGTTAATTTAATTTAGCTTCCTTAAATTAAGGCTTTTCATTTATTTAATGCTAGTTTCAGTAAACTACTTTTTACGTTGTAATTTTACAATATTTTCGTCAGTGAACATTCTAATCATGGTGCGCATTTTGGTGGATAATTGTTTGGAAATGCAAATACATATAAAACGTTTTCCTACTTTTATAAACTTTACTTTTTATTTATATTTCGTGCCGTTTGTATTGCTCAGACATCATACACTTTATTTCACATAGTTCAATATGACAGAATGATAGAGCTTACGCGAGCTGGTTTGGAATGTAAACAAGGAATCTATCGAATTTTTTTTCTACAAGCAACCCGTTCTGCATCAATCCTCTTTTTCTACGCCATATTCTGTTAATCTGTTAACTCGCTGCCATAGGGCCTTTGTGCTCTCACTTTTCTCACGCGTATAAAAACTGTGTCCAAGCTATTTGTAATCTTAAGTTTCGTGTACAATGTTACTCACTAAAAATGCGATTGTCATGGTGGCATACAAATGCATAAACCCTGTGAGTGGCCATAGAAGGTTATTCTTTCGGGTTATTTTGCTTGGAACAATACAAAATATAATAGCGCAATAATAATTGTTATAGACCATATAAAATGTTGTTTTTATTACTGCTTAATGCTTAGCGGATGCTAGTAGTAACCATTATATTTATTCCATATGACACAATTATAATAAAAAGAGCTTGATATTTATGTTTACTAGGGAAAGAAAATATTTCAGCACCTACAGTAATCAGAACCGACAACAGATTATACATAGTCGCTAAAATAAGTTTTCCATTTGCAATGAATTTAGGCAAAACGCGTTTTAATAAGGGATCATATAGGCACAGATTTTGAATTTGATCAGCAACTCTTAACTGCTTGACAATTCCCATTGTATTTTTCAAGCCTTTAAATTAACATTTTGTCAAAATAACGCCATAAATAAACATTTATAATGAACTAAGAGAGCAATTTTTGATAGACCATTTTCGCTACCTGATTGTCATCAAAATCTAAACAAAATGCGTGAATTTGTAAAAATATATGTACATGAAAACGGATTGAGTATACACGGTTAACTAAAAGTAATCGAAAACCACCCACTAAATAAGCACGGATAATTTTTCTAGCCCCACTCTCAAAGATGCCTCGTAAATGTTTCATTTCATAATTTTAATTTGCGATTGGTGCACTTATTAATGTTTAAGTCCGATAAAAAATAGGTTAAGCAATGCAAACAAAGTTGCTGAATAACTGTACAATAGTTAACACTTGGCACAGATGATCAAAAAGTGTTGCTGGGCGATGCGTTTTGTTGTCTACACTAGCACACTCAAGGACATTTTACTTCACGTTAGCACACCCTTCACCAGCGAACGTCAAACGCGGTTATCTCCGTCGTATCCGTTATCGTAAAGCATACCCATGAAGAGATGTGAAACAAAATACGTTTAAAATTGTGCTGATCTCCAAAAAACATTAAGTTGCCTTTGAGGCATTGCGCTGTTAACGGAATAACACCCTGGGGTAAATTGTAGTGCTCGACTCAGGATTACTAGAAATGATTCAGACGCGTCGTGGGGACTTTCGGACATTAAATTTGAAGTCACGTTGAACTAAAATTGTCACCTTCTAGTAGTACAGTTCATTTTTTATACCACATTTCAGGAAAACCGTGGATGATTATAGTCGTATCATAGTTGTTTGTTAGTTTGGTAGGAAAGCCATATTCTTACTAGAAAGGCTTAAAAATTGATAGTAGAGAGTGGATTTTAATTTGCATTTGCCTAAATTAGAAAAGAAAAAAGACTTATATTCCCTAACCAGCAAATTCCGCACGCTTGTTTAAATGAGTAATTTATTCGAATTAGCTTATTAATTCATTATTTACCATAATAGCAAAAACGTTTTCTATGAATGGTCTATGTGAGTCACAAAACAATGTTTTCTCCAGCGAGAAAGAGAAAAAGTAAACTGATGCTTACGCCTGACTTTGTACGATACAGTAATTTCCAGTTGTGTACCTAGCAAAGGACAGCTGAAATGCTTTCCGCCAGTGTTCTAAGCGGAACTCGGAGAATGGTTTACACAGTGCATCAAGCAGTCTGTAGACTGTGTAGCTATCTCAGCGCCAACCAATCCAATCCACCGCTCTGACGACTGCCTTAAGCTATCGTTTGAAACGTGAGTAGGTAGAGTACTGCATCAAAAATACAATGCCTCACTAAAACCTAACATCAGTAGTTGGATTGAGCCTCGAATGCCAAATATGCACTTCTGACGGGCCAGACAATGAACACAATAACCTCACGAAACCGTGAAACAGAACTTAAAGTGCTCAATTTCTACTCAAGAGGTCAGGATACAGGCTTCAACCGCTTCAATAGGTATCAATGTGCATAATTAACTGCTGAGCCAGAAATGCCAATTAAAGTCTTCAATGTCTTAGTCGGTAATGCCCTCTTGCCCGTAGATGTACTGCCAAAAACCTGCGAAAAATAAATGTGTCCAATGCGTTCACAGCTATAGGGGGTCATTGTTCCGTCTACAATATCTAATATACTGTAAACGCAAACAATCCAGGGGTAACCTGTGCTTATATTTGACCATGAACTCTAGGCCTCGGCTGTGTGATCTTTGCATGCAAAGATTTCTAAGTACGTCCAACAGAGTGAACACTGCAGAACGCTTACTTCTACTTACATTATTTTAAAGCGATAGCAGACTTGCGCCACATCTGTTGCACCTTCTTCTTCCTCACGCACTTAATCTCTGTGTCAGGGCAAAATCGGGATCATCCAAGTCGTGCTGCGGCTAACATGATTAAACAGCCCCTCGGCAGAGTTCGCCTTGGTACTGGTACTAACACTGACGCTAAAATGTGTCAGAGGTGACACTGATTAAAGCCAACGCTGGGCCCATACCCCCTTGATTTCAACAAGGAGTGTGAATATGGGTTTACGCTATTCCGAATAATAACGTGCGTGAGATGTTGACCGAGCAGAGCTTGCCGTTGTTTCTGCCTCCTTACCCCTCTGCACCAAAAGCTGTGTCACATTTTACTAAGTTTGGCCTAGGATACGGTCGCTAGAGGTGATACGCCACTGTCGAGTGTTAATTCTAGTAGCCACACTAACTATGACCAGCAGATAATATATTCTAGTAATATACTCCTATAACTGCGTAACAAGCATAACATATGGGAATATGAGCGTACGCGCGTCCTAAACTTCATTCAGGTTGATTTGTAAAGCACCCGACCAGCGTTCACATGCGCGAGGCAGGCGTGTGTGTGTTCGAACATCGATTTCGATGAAGAAAACTAAGTGCATCAGGAAGATCTACGATCGGCCTAACGTTCACAAGGAAAACATGCCGCTTAGGCACATTGTCTCCCTTCGCGTCATTCCTAAGTACGGATTGGCAAAATGGATGTTCACCCACCTCAAGTTCCTGGCAGTAGGATCGTCAACAACTGTCGCTTCTGCCAAACAGTTCCTCGAGCTAATAAAGCATCTGAAGGTTGAACCAGAAAAATCCTTCGATGTTGTCTCACTCTTCACTTCCATCCCACAACAGCTAGCGATTTATGTTGTGGCACAACTCCTATCCGAACGCTACGATCGGAGCGACAAACCACTTAAGCCTGCACGTCTCAAAACGTACTTCACCTTTGGTGGACAAATTTCTTAGCAGATTAAATGCACCCCCATGGGCGTCCTTCTGTCAGGCCTGATTGCTGAAGTGGTACTCCATCGGATAGGACACTTGGTCTTCAGCATGTATCAACCGAAGTTTTGTGCACGTTATGTCGATGACACTTGCGTCATTGTCAAAACATCTGACAACGAGCAGCTCAAAGAGTTACTTACTTGTACTGTTTGTGGCTGTAATCATGCCTGATCTAGTCGCCGTCAATGATGTCACGAACGGCACCTCTCCATGCGTGACGATTAGCGGCAGCGAATCTGGAAAGCTCCCCCCAGTCTCTTCCCCAGCGATGGAGACTGAACGTAGAATGTCCATGAACTGCTTCCATGTCTTGACGGACAGTGTCGAGCCAAGTCTTCAGTCGCCCTCCTCTTCGACGTTTCCAGGTGGGCCGCTGCGCCGCGTCGAGGACAGCATAGCAAAGCTCGTGGGATGGATGACGGAGAGCGTGTCCAAACCACCTCAGTCGCCTTTATTGAATTTCCCAATGTATCCTCGTAAAACGATCGCAGCGGGTGCGGACTGTCTCTTTAAAGATGAATTCGCTATACTTAATTCGCACGATCGTCCAACGTTGTCAAAGACCTCCAGTCTTCGCTCATCCTCAGCGCGCACAGCCCAGCATTCACCTCCATACAGGAGGACAGACCGGATGGATGCACTGTATACACGAATCTTCGTGGCGATGGAGACTTTACGTCGCATCTACAGGCGCTTTCGAAGGATTGAGAAAACCCAGCGAGCAAAATCGATACGGGAGACATTGTCGTCCTTGCTCTGTCCATTCGGTAGCAGCCTCGCTGCGATATATGTAAAGCTGTCTATTTCTTCAAGTTGATATGCATTAATCCCCAGAAGTGCCTTCTCCTGGTCAGGGATGCAGCTCGATAACAACTATGTCTTTCCGGAATTTATGGACATGCCAACCGTCATAGCGATCTAATTTAACTGCAACACTACCGAAAGCTTGAGGCTAAAGGCGCAATATCATCGGCACAGTCAAAATCAGTTAGCCAGCCTCCGGGTGCAAGCTCAACACCGTCCTCTTCATGTATGGCCTTTCTGAGAATCCAGTTAACCACGTTTTTTAACAGAATGGGCGACAGAACGCAGCCCTGTTGGACACCAGACCGGATATCGAAAGACTGAAAGAGATTTTTGTGAACCAGGACTCGTCCGATAGTAGGCCTTAATCATGGCAATGAGTTTGGTCGGCACTCCGTCCAGTTCCATTGTTCGTCACTGGGACTCACGATGGATTTAATTGAATGGCGGGATTCTAGAATGCGCCACATCGTCAATATCTGGTCCGCACATCCACGCCCAGCGCGGAATCCGTCTTGATTTGGTCGTGTTTTGGAGTGACTTACAGACTGGAAACGCCTGAGAAGAACAATAGCGAAGATCTTTGCAGAAAAATCGATAAGATTTATGCCGCGGTAGTTCTCGAACCTGGTCTTATCTCCCTTTTTTGGACACGTACAAGGATGCCTGAACCCCAGTCATCGGGAAAGGCCTTTTCTCACCATGCCTGTACAATCACCTCATGAAGCTGAGTAGACCGGGTGTCGACACAGAACTTGTAGATTTCTGCGGTAATACCGTACTTTCCGCACGACTTGTTGTTGCGTAGTCTCTGCATTCCATCGGTAACTTCGTCTTCGGAGGAAAGGCCATTCGACACTGTGTAGGCAGGAAAGGGTTGAAACTCCGCTGTGGAGGAGAAGGAGGGTGTGATGCGTTGTTCATTTTAGTTGAGGAGGTTCTCGAAGTGTTCACGCCAGCTATCGACCTTGGCCGAGTTGTCAGCAGTAAAACCTCCATTCACATCGCGAACAGAATCACAGAAAGTCTGGCGCTTAACACGTACTAGGCGGATGATTTGGTATAATTATCGAGTTTCACCAACATTTGAAGTCTGCTTCATCGAAGTCGCCGTTTAGGGCCAATACTTCTGCCAGTCATCTCTGGATGACTTTTCTGCCAGTTTTCGAAGTTTGCGGAAGGAAACATCGTTGCGGGACCTGT